TTGGCGGGTTTAGCACTTATACTTCCAGTTCAAACAGCAGATTGCTGAACGTGGGTTCTCGATTCAGAATCGTATAAAAACCAAAACGCGTAATAGACTGCAACCTCATAGAGTGGACACGCTGTCTCTGATCTCTGGCGAGGGGCCCAGTATTGAAGATTTTCAATTCAATGAAGCCCTTGCTTTATGGAAATCAAGTAAACCAAGGAGAGCATTTCATACGAAATGAATGTTATTATCTATACCCGTATATCTCATTAATGAATATTGATATTGATTGGCTTTGCTGATGTGTATTATGTACATTGTCAATCATGGAAATAAAAATTAAAGGTAAACATACTTTTTTGAGTGAAATGCAATTTATTATGAAAATTTAACAATGGGTGTCCCTAAAAAAAATCGTGTGTCCCCACTTTTTGGCTGACATGGGTCACTGTGTCCCACGTTTCGAAATCCTGGCTGAAACACTGATATTGCAATGAAAAATCGCCGACTATTAGTGCCAAACTGCCATTGTAGAATTTTTTTCTAATTATTGATTTATTAATTTCAACATATTTCGATATCTCGCCGACTTTATAAATTTAACCAAAAAATGTTTTCCCAGACGTTTATATGAACCGACAGTGACATGGGCACTAAAACTTGTACACAATGATGAACCAGTTACATCCATGGAAAACATATTCACTGACTGGCTATAACAGAAGTCTTTCAATTTTCTTTCCTTTTTATGCTGTTCTATTTCAAACTTTATTTGACTTGATACAAAAACATGAAATACAATGCAGTAAAATGATATAAAATTTATCAGATATAAAAATATCTTGTCTTTAATTAATTGTAGATTGACAATATTTGTTGGGAAAAACTGCTTATTATGCAAATACAATTATGCAAATTAGATGTATTGTTATGCAAATTGGCCGTGATGCTTGACATAAAGTCTGGGGAGAACACTGAATCCAAAGCAAAGGAAACATTTGACGTCGGTGAGTTACCAGCCAAACGTACCACGGACACACCAGTGATAATAGTCCACACAAGAAAAGGCGTAAAAATAAAAAGAACAAACACAAGTCGAAGACTGACTCCTCTGTCAATGAACATGCGATTACAGAAGAAAGCCGTTCAAAGGACTGCAGGGGCAAACCAGGGGGCAAACCAGGAGGCAAACGTAAATCTAAGACGAACCGTAAAGTGGTTGAATCACCAGTTGCCGACGAAGCAAATGCCGAAGAAACGGGAGTTGGTCACGCCATCGAAGATGTGATACAATTTTTGCAAGACAATGTTTGCGAATCGAAACCGTCGACATCCGCCACAACTGCCAACACAGAAAAGCAGGGGCCTGAACATATCGGCCCAGCAAGTACGAAAACAAAACGTCGATGTCGCCAAAGAAACGGTACAAGAAAATGTATGCGATACAGAACAATCAACACTTGCGAGTTTCCCCACAAGACAAACTATTAAAAAACGTGTTTTTGAACACGAATCTGGACCAACTTTCGAACTGCCTTCATATGCTCGCGAGGTGGAATATTTCTACAAATTTATCCCACCAGAACTGATAGAACTGGCTTCCATCGAGACTAATAAATACGCCAAATATCAGCAAAAATACATTGCAAAAAAATTAAACACCCGCTGGCGTAATACAAATTTCAGTGAAATGCAAGCATTCTTTGGTGTGATGATATGTATGGGGGAGTTGATCACAAATCAGCAATCGACGATTATTTGTCGAGTGACCCCTTACTGCAGAATATGGGAATTGCATCAGTAATGACTCAGGCCAGATTTCAAATGCTAATGCGTTGTTTTCATTTAGCGGCGGGATCCTGACACTGAACGTCGTCATCAACGATCAGAGGCTGACCCGTTGTATAAAATCAACTTGTGGCTGAAACCCATACTCGAAAATTGTCGGCGATACTACCAGATAGGACAGGAAATTTCGATTGATGAGGGTATGATTAGATTCAAGGGACGGTCCAAGTTTAAGCAGAGATTGCCCCACAAACCCGATCGTGATGGCTTCAAAATATGGCAGGTGTGCGACTCGACAATGTCTTACATTGCAAACTTTGAACTGTATTTGGGGGTGAAATATAAAACTACAAATGAGAGAAGAAAGAAAGAAACTGGGACAATCAAGAAGACAACACACCGGTTGCTACAGCCCTTCACAGAAAAAAACCATATTCTTTTCTGTGATTCGCTTTTTACACAGCCCTTGAAAGTGTACATGGTCGGTAGTTTTAGCAGACGAAATCAGAAAATCTTGCCGCCGCAATTAATTCCTGAGGGGAAAAGCAAGAAGCTGAAATTGAAAATTGGTGAAATGAAAGCAGCAACTAGACCGAACGACACTATCAATATTACTGCATACCAGGATGACAGCGCACAAATATTCATTTTAAATAGTCTATCCCCCACTGGCTACGGCGGCAGAAGCAGTAGATTACGAGAGACACGTGCCTGTATCGTTACAATGTTACAGACATCACATGGGTGGCGTGGATCGTTCTAACCAAAGGCGAAAATACGGGCAGAAATAATTACAAAGTTTTTATTACAAAGTGTTTTACAGTAGTTGATTTTTCGGCAGATTTTATTTAATATTCGTTATTTAAATATTTTGGCGTCATTTTTCGGGCATTTCAATCATTCCTGACGCCTAAAATAGAATTTAAGTTTTTATTCAAGAGTACGTTTTTTGTGACTAGCGTGAGTGCGCAAACTTCGTTTCAGTTCGAGTTGTTGTCACTGTAAATAATGTTAAATTAGTCTTCAAATGCTCAGTTTATCTTTTGAAAACAGCTATTTTTGATTTGAAAAAAAAAATCATGCCGTTTTCCCGTAAAAACCCAAGCCAAATGATCGTACTACAATATCGGCAAATCTCTTCCACGTTGCGTTAAATAACATTAACATATTTGAATGAGCTATGGTAATTTGAACACGTTGGCGTCATCCAGCATTTTTATTGGTTAATTAGAGATTTGACCTATTAGGTCAACCATGCAAGACAAGGAACATGGCGGTTACTCGACAGCATCAAGCGTTAATTTGCGACCGGAATTATTTGCTTACAACGAAACGAAGTTGAATTCTATTTGCATTTCATTACAATTCAACAAATTTGTTTTTTTGAACGTTATTATAATCACTACTGAGTAATAATCAACAATTGTGAAACGCAGCATGACTGCATTGCGCAACCGTGATCATTTGTTGCTTGGCAGTTGTGATCGTTTATACTTTGTTTAGAATATAATTTCGTCACCAATAAAATTAGGAAAACAAAGTGTATTTCACGTACCAGGTTCGTTAAAGTGATTTTTTGGAGAAAAATTACCTTGGGTGACATTGTAAGTTTTAGGCGGTTAAATTAGCAGGTCACAGTGCATTTTACTTGTCTCAGTATTGACTGTCTCGCCGTACTTCAGACGGGACTTCACACTTTCCATTGTGAAATATAGATGCTAATAGGTGTTTTTGAAGACAATGGCACAGTATTGTAGGTGAATTTACAAGCTCTATGAATTTTGTATGCGAGACAATGGCATCGTAAACACACACAATGCCTTTAGACCTATCATAATACGACCGAGACGTATGCTCACCGGATGCGTCCCCGGGACTCACCAGTTGAAAGATTCATGCACCCCACAGAAAAACTATACTTCCCGGACGCGGAATTCCGCGTTAACGCAATCCCTGATAGAGTATTCAATTGGATTCAGTCTCGTTTGCAAACAACTTATTTTATATTGATACATGTATAGTTTTTATATGGACGACGCCTGACATGAACCCCTAGGTACACCTGAAACTGCATCGAGTACACGTTTCCAAACACTTCTCTCCTCTTCACAAGATTTCATATCTGGTTTTTATGCTTGTATAATTTGTTAAGTGACTTATAGATGCAGGGCACTTGAAAGTAACACCAAACAATCTTAAAAATAAGGTCAACAATTAACAAAATTACTCTCACCATTAATAGTGATGCAAGTCAAATTTGGAATGATAGCAATCATTATTACCTTATATTCTGTGATGGTCTAGTGTCATCATCATTATGTTTTTTTGGCCTTCCTCTTCCTCTGATGCTCAGATCTTTGGAAGGTCTCTCCTGAAAATGTGCAAGACAAAAAAAGAGGTGAAACTAAAGAATTAAACACATAATATTGAACAACTTGACAATTTAAAAAGAGAACAGGTCATGACATGACAGTCCCAGTCCTTTTTAATCTAAGAGTATATTTGTGATATCAAGGCTTGAAATTAACAACCGGAATTGGTCGTCTATCTGATAAAGGAGTTATCACTCAATTCAAAATTGTGTATAAAATCATAGCCCGAAAGCTTTTGCAAACACAGCATGATCAGGACCAATATGGCAAATAGCGCCCTCACTGCTTAATGGTGAAAATACACGATTTTCATGTATTTTGGCCTTAAAGTACATGTACATTCAACAATCTTGAACAAGGTCATGAAACAAATGCATACGCATGAAGTTTTAATTTCATTATTTTTTTACTGATACAACTCCTATAAGTTGTTTTAAATAAATTATAGAGTCATTATATTTTGAAGTTAGCATTTTGTCGATGCCAGCAACTGGGACTAAAGTCTAGGAAATGGTGTCATCAGAATAAATCAGTAGTTTTGGAAGGGACAGTCAACTCTGCAATAATCACCAAACCAAGATACCAAACATAACCCAGGTTAATAAGTGCTACTGCTGTGGCTTCAAGATGTACACCAGGTAAGGAATGCACTGTATGCATGGATAGCTACTGAGTGACTCATAAAAACAGAAATAATAATAATGAAATAATTAACAGCCACCCAAATAAAAACACAAGATAATTTCACATTATGTAAGAGCCCATCCTAATGTGTGAAGGCTAATAGAAGCAAAACTCATTAACAAAATGTCTGGTAAGAGGTGTAAAAATCATTCAGATCAATGAAAAAATACACATAAATGAAATTCATGGAAAACAATGGCTGTACCAGGTCACTTTATTTGGATAATTCAACCAAATATGCACCGATAAGATATCGGAAATTGTCAGCAGTAAAATAATTTTATCTTCCGTGAATAATCAGAAACCCCCTTAAAAATAATACATGACATAATGACATTGTTATAAAGCCATGTTGAATATGGTCAGATGCTATGATCCTAATTTGGTTAGACTATTAGTTGATACTAAGAAGAGGGGAACCCAGGAAAATATGGTTTCACAATTTATTACAGGTTCTAATCATATATTTGGTCCCAACGGGAATTTACGACATACTGGACAGAAAATCTTATTTATTTTATTTTTTTGATAAAAAAAAAACATGCCGTTTTTGTTGGACTACACATGTACACTTTTCAACTGTTAGTGTGATGCTTAATTTAGAACCACATGAAGGCATTTTACCCTTGCCCGACATCTAAATTAGAATAACATTTAAAGCTTGAACTTCACAGAGGCATTGCAGGAAAAAGCCCTGGTTCTACTGAGTTTGCCTTAATGCCTTCAATACAGATCTATATATTAATACATGTTTCAGGCTTCTGCCCAGTTCATTTGAGTGCTGGTCACTAATTAATATTCATGAGCTTATTTATTAAGACATGAGGCAATTAATAGTCAATTTTTCTCCCTAGTACATATGTAGCTACAATTTAACTACTTTAATTTAACTTTTATTTTTAATATTTCAATGTATAAATTAATCTGCTTTAATGAAAATGAAGAATAGATAAACTGTATTTCCACAATCACATTCAAAATATGTATCTTGAGATATTGACCTCTGACCTGGCAGCCACTTTTTTTTCTAAGCATGTCGTTCATTTGTTACTGTTCTGTTTTTGTTTTTTACAACGGAATGTTGGTAAATCACAATTATAGTGAAAAATAATTATACCTTGGATCGCTGACTCAACATAGGTTCTGGATTGAATTTTATGAACAAGTCATGAGGCCAAAAACTTAACAAAGCTTACTACAATTGAGTACAAGTGTAAATTAAACACTTTGTGCATCCCTGTTGGCAATGTGAATAAGTTTTTTGTTCAACTCAACAAATCCTACACAGAATTAAATTGCAACGGTAAACTTTTCTTTTGTTTATTTATCACAGTCTTCCCTTCTAAAATCTTCATGTATGACTTATTCCAATCCGGTTTGTTTGTTAAAACTAACAGAATGTCAATCGAAAGAGACCAAAACAAAAACACATTAGGCCATCGTTACATGTAAACATTGTATTTGAAAAGTGGTGCCTGTTTCATTTAAGTTCTATTCTGAATTAATTTTCAATATGTTATTGTTTTCTAAAACCAACCACGACAATAGAATGATGGTCCAGTGACCAACATCTTGTGTGTATCATAAACAAATAGAATATTACCAGTTGGCAACTTTTGGAGAGGGGCTGGATTTGTTTGGTCCAGAAATGCCAAACACGTGTACTGATCCAACTTATAATCAGTGCAAGTTTTTAGAAGAGAAACGTATATGCACCCATTTAAATATGTGCTATGCTGAAATAAAGAACACCAACACAATCTGAGGACAAAAACTGTGACATCTAAGGTGTTTGGCAAGCTGATACAGTGCCTATCAATTGCACTCAAAAATGTCGTCAAGGTCATCACAGTTGAAGTGATGAAAATTCTTTTTGTTTGCTAACAATGTTGCAAAATGTCCAACTGAGCAACAAATTCATATTATCGCACGTGAGGGATATTTTTTTAACAATGATATAGTTACCTAAACCCGTCGTCGTTTATTTGGAGTGCCTTGGCAGCGGAAATTGCGCCATCACTGGGCACAAACATAGAACCAATCAAGTTCCGAAAGCTAAATTCACAAAACATGTAATTGTGATAATACAACAAAAAAGTAACAAATCGTACTTATATGTGAATTTTAAATGGACAGACTTTGAACCTTGACCAAAATACGCTCGCCGAACACTTTATCGGCCGAACATGGTAACTTACAGGAGGCACTGGGAACAATAACAATGAAATTTAGTTCCCTATAATATACACTTACATTGATTGGATTTGAATATTGGTCAGATCTGCGAGTTCGTCTCTGTCTAAGAGACAGGAATTCAACTTCATCTTCCGGCTCGAGGCCACCACTGTGTCGAGTTTTGACCATTTTCGATACTTTCTAATCAGAACTGCCCTCAATGGTAGCCACCATATTGGATTTGCGGAACCACTTGACACAGTATTATTGTGCACGATCAAACATACTCCCGCGTACTCATAGCAATAGGAAACCTCTTCTAATAACAACGTAATCAGAAGTTACTTAATGATATGAATAAAAAATTATAGTTCGTAGTCATGCACAAAATTTAATATTGTCAACACGTGCCACAATACTATTTTTAACTTTTTTGCGCGTATTAATTTTAAACGACAGATAACAGTGAGAAGGTTATGAAACCCATGGCGCGAAATATGTTTTAGAATGTTGCATTGATAAAAGAAAAAAAGCTTGGAAGATACCATTATTTATGAAAAATAGCATATGTAACTCGCGCTTTAGTCAAGATTATTTGACCCTACAGCTCGATAATTCATTTTCTCTCAAATTCGTTCTACTCACAATAAATTTTATCTCCAGACAAATAAATCGAATGTGACCTCTGACACGTATCCTCTATCCCAAACAAATTACTCTGATAGTGTTTTTCACCATATTTGAAGTCAGAAATAGCATATTTCAATAGACTACATCAAATTTCATTATAATTTAATTTTATACAATAATATAGTTTAAATAATAATAAACAACAACAATGAAATATATAATCGCGGACGTGGTTAACCCGCTGACCCGGGGAATACCGCAAGGTCGCTCCGATGCGATGTGTAGCAGTCGATTGAATCACCAGAGCGGACAAGACCAATAATGACTGAAATATGCCCTATTCCACCGGTGTAAGTAAACAAAACGAGTATTAGTTTGATTGTTTGTTTAAGGCCCTATTTGTCTGCTCACCCACTAACACAGCAACTTTCTGCTTTGTTTTGTTTATATAGAGAATTATTATCAACGTTTTTACTTGTCTGCTGTTTTTCTACTGTGCATTTTATTTCACGGCGACCGTAGTGTTCGGCGCATTCAGGTACGTAATATTCGGTCAGCAAATCGATTAAGAAGTGTGCATATTTGCAGTAAATTAAAGACAAGCATACTGTTTGTTTATCTCGCTTTAGATTCTTTTAGGCGTTCCGCTTATACCTTGTGTCACGGAAATCATGCCTAACAACTCAATTTGACCTCATTGTTTACAAACAAAGGTATTGACAGGCAAGATTTCAGGGATCTGGATTATTGTCATATTAACACTCTTCATCGTTATATTCTAATGCCTGTCTACAATTAGGGAATTCAGTGCTGAATTGTATATTTTACTTAATCATAATAATTGTTTATGCAACACAAGAAATAGCCATAATAATAATATTTATTAGACACATAAAATTCTTAGGAAAGGAAAAAAAAAAGGTCTTACAAGAAGAAATTTAAAAACTATAATCTAAAAAAAAAAGCATATTCTAAAAATGTAAAACAAATCAAAAACAAATATGAATAAACAATAAAGACAATTTGCAACCAATGGTGAATATAGAACATAGAATGAACACAAATTGTAACCTAATACACTGATAGTTGTTGCTGTTTTGTTTCATAGCTGTTTTTTAAGGAGACAGCTAAGGCTGGTGCTAGAGTATGGTTTCCCATAATCAATATGTACATGTGGCATTTTAGCTAGATGTGTACAGATTTGATTTCGCCAGTCAAAGTTTGTTTATCCATGGACATACTAACATGTGTTAATACGTCCATGGTTTATCTGACCACTGACTCACTATTATACCACTAGAAACCTGTATTTCCTATTGATAAAGCGTTATGACTTTGGGAAATCAAATGCAAAGTTTTTTGTCTGTTAAGCTATGTCATGATATAAGAAGGCAAAATCTATTGTTTTAAATTTGAAATTGATGCAAGTTGTTGTTACACAAACACAGATTGCTGGATCCAGCATCTTGGCATGCTGATTCAAATCATTCAATTCAACAGAGGTCAAATACAGGTTTTTCTATCACGATCACGCTGGGTTCAATGGGATGGCCATGGAAGGCTGGCGTCATTGACAATCATTGAATAGACTATTTTCATTCCGAAATCTGGCGTTATGTCGGAAATCAAACGTAAAAAAGGGACAAACAAAGGTCAACGCAACAAACATGAAAATATTTGTTTTAATATTTCCACGCTCAATAATGTGCTATACACATTTGATGGTGGTTAATTTTGATGAAGTGAGGGTATTTTAGCGACTTATTCCCTTCTGAAATATCAGCATTGAAGTATGAAAATAATTCAGTTTTTGCCACACCCATTCAGTCTGCATCTTTTATGCAGTATGCATGATATTTTAGCAGTGAAAATTAGTTCCTTAAAAAATTTAGATAACATTACCGGACTATTGAGGAGAGCACCTATGAACCCATGCACAATCACCAACAAACAATGAAATTTATTTTTGAAGGGTTATGTATTAACTACGTAATATAAACTTATGATTTTCTCATTAAGAAGATCACTGACGGTCTTACTAAAATAATGTGTGACACTGTACTGTATATGATATTGGTTTATAATTTGAAACAGAGTCACGAATTCTAGCAGCTATCCACGCTTTTCATGATCGGCGCCCTGGCTTTTGTATATTTTGACTTCTTCTTAAAATTTTTTAGCTGTATTGGTTTTATACTAACTACAAACGTTAATGTTAAAGGTGGTTCTCTGTCAGTTTTTGTTCATTTTGTGAGGATACCTTCAGTTTTTTGTAAAAATTGCTATTTTCAATTTTTTTTTTGAAAAAGCAAGCCTAACTGCTTTCATACTTTGTATGTAGACCCCTTGGGTGGACCTTAGTCAGATTTGTTCATGTTGTAACATACTTCCTATTCTCTAATTTTTGTCAATTTTTTTCATTTTTAGCGAAAAAAAAAACTTTCTTACATTTTTTTTTTTAAACAACACAAGTCTGATATTGTACATCATTGTCTGAATTATTTTTTATCAGTTTTTACAAACAAATCAAAAAACATCTTTAACTCTTTTTTTTTACAGGCTTCAAAAATTTGATGGCACCATTCCATTTCATTATGAAAGTTTTGATGACAAGTTTTATCAGTTAGTACCATTTAATCAATCTGCGTGGACCAGTCAGCCTTTTCTCAGTAAGTTATTTTATTTCCTATAATTACATTTGCAGAGATATTTTACATTAGTGCCAATAGGGTGAGTATGAAAACAGCTACCGTATTTATCCGGGTAAGAGCCCAGGGTCCTGAACATGGAAAATTATCCCCTGCAAAAAAAGCGAAAATTCACTTTTAACTTCGGCAGGGAATAGAACGGCAAATAAAAACATGCAACAGAAATAAATGAACAATATGCAACATTAGAAGTAAAACAAAAATAATTTATTGCTTATAATGTGACAAATAAACCAGAAATAATAAAAATCGACAGTGAGGAATCATTTGAATTAGGATTTTCCTGCTGACAAACACGCCTGATACGCGTGAACTCAAAATGAACTAAAATGTCAATGGGTTAACTGCGTAAAATTATTTTCGGTCTCGACAAATTACGGATCAACTGTCATACAAGATCAATAATAATTCACAAATTTACACAGTAAAAATTATAAAAATTCATAGCTGTTTGAAAAAAATTCTCTTTATTTGTACATTCATTGCCATCTTCGTCGACCATAAAGTCCAAGTCTGTGTCACTGTAGCCGTCAAACAAAATCCCTACAGCTGCGTCCTGAAGTTTGTCAATATCGTCCCACACAATTTGGACTTAGCACTTTTAATCGACGGATTTTGCAGTCAGCTTAGCACTTTTCATTCATGTCTAATCACAATAAAGAGACAAGAAAAATTGGGTCGCTCTGCTGCGATGGCACACAATGCTTTTGTTTACAGTCTGGCAATCATCTTTGAACTTTATGCATCTGCTTTACTGATTGGCTAAGTATGACATCACTACTAGTGTTTCATCATAAAGTTCAAATCGTGACATTGCTTTCTTATCAGACTCAACTCTCTTCAATCATGTTGAAAGTTATCATTCAGCAAGTTCCGGCGGTTGGAATGTCTCACTATATGGATATCGCGGTGGACTTGAAATAGGAAGTTTTTTTTTTATCCAACGACAGAAGAATAATTTTCATGACAGAAATGCAATAGCGGTGATGAAAGATGGTTAAAAAAGTTGGCAGTCTTCGGCGTGACATTGAGTGCGACACTTGCTTCGCGGATCTCTTTATACAAGTTGCTTGAATCATTTCTAAGGAAGCACAAACCACACGACCGGCCGTCCCTTTTTAGGGCCATGACATATTTCAAAAAAAGAACTATCGTTTCTGCTTTAATATACATTTTTATAGACTTGCTGACTGTTATGATTCTGAAAAAAGTCTTGAAAAATAAATGTAAATCATCGGTGAACACGCTGCCCTGAAGGCAGAAAGCGAGATTATCTGTTTTGCTGTCACAGCTATTTCGTGTTCACCCCTTGTTTTATGCAATTAACAATTATTTTTAAAGAATGTTTATAAACATCACAAGAACTGTAAGAAAGTCAACTGTTAATACAACCACAGTCAACAAATAGAAAATAGGTTTTTGTTATATTTTGTGTAAAAAAAGACTCCCTGGGCGTATACGTGGATATGACCTCAACTTCTTTATTGTGTTCACAAGTGGGGGGGGTGTGTTTGCCTGGGCATAGGCTCTTACTCGGATGAATGTTATTACTGTAAGTTTTCCGTTTTTGCAATTTGATGTTAATGGTGTTCCTGAAGACAAAATTTCGTGGATGTTGCTCACTTGCTGAGACCCAACATCTTTTAGGACCCCAGGATTATTTTCGCTGCTACATAATTGCATGATTATTACTGACTTTTTCTCTGCTGTGCTTTCACATAAAGGGTCATTGTTCTCATGCACTACATGTTCAAATTGTATTTTACATTTTGTGTCACCAATAGCAAACATGATGTGTTGCTATGACTACTGATCCTTAATGAACATAATATGTACTTCATGTATCTTACAGGCGACATAATAGCGCTGGAATCTACATACTTTATCAGCACATGGGTGTATATTGCATACTTAGATAGTTGGTTGTGGGACTACGCTTTGACCGTGACAGTCATTCATTGTGCCATAGTTTGTGCTGGTAAGTAAAGAGGTAATATTTTTACTGACACGAATATACAGCCATGGGCAGAATAGCATGTACTTTGCAAGTCTGGAGATATGTGTAACATACAAGTTAACAATACTGGGACTGTTTTTTTGTTTTGTTATTTTGTTATTTACTGCCACATCTCATTTAGGTGGCAGCACTTCCTGAGGTAACTGCTCGGTCGCCAACCTCTGTGTGTGTATATTAGACAAGCCTTGACCGATACATTCAAACTTCACACATACATCATACATAATATTATACATATGCAGAATGATTTGTTTTATGATCTGATTCAAGATAGACTAATGACTGCCATTTTTGTGCTGAAAAATTATTGAAACCCAATCTTGGCTGTTTACAGATGGATTTTGTTCAAACTAGCTACATACATTGGAAATTGTGGGACCTTGATGCACATCCTTATATTTTTCAGATTTTTATATTTTAGAGCCATATCTCTGACATGCTTTGACTGATTGTGTTCAAATTTTATATATTCATTTTAGATCATGTCATAGATATACAGATATATTGGTTTGACTGATCTGATTCAAATTTACTGAGTGGTGGTCATTTTGTTTTAATTAATGCGGTTCCAATGTCTCTCAATATGGATGATCAGATACAAGATGACTGAATTTTAATAATTTTAATGTTAAAAAAAATCATCATAAGCATCAGCTTCTGGATCCATATCTCTGACATGTTTAAGTTCAAACTATATTAGCATAAACAAAACTGCCATGCATGCTTCATAGAAATTACTGTGTTGAGCACCATAGTTGATGCAGACACAACAAACAATTGGTACGCGTACATGACAAGTTTTTTTTATTTATACTACAAACATTCACATCATTCCGATTCCAGTTGAATCTTTACTGTAATCCCTTGATTATTAACATGTGCACCTTTTAAATGTTATCTCTTTTCATAAAAAGGCACTTACATTAAACAAAAATATGATTTATTTTACCTAGAATTAATTTTTGCTGAACAGACATTTTGGCTGTTTTATTATTAGTAGTTTATTTTCACTGATTTTTGATGAGTTGTGTAAAATATAGGAAAACAGGTATTTTCACTGAATTTTATTTTCACTGATTGAGAGAGACGAACATATTTGCTCTCTTTGTGACATAGATGAAATTGAAAATGAGTTTCACTTTCTCCTTGTTTGCCCATATTACCATGAATTGCGAACATACCGGTAATACTTACCCAATACATTTTATAATACCTTGTCTTTTGATAAATTTATAGAACTTGTTACTTCTCAAAACTCTGACATTTTACAACCACTAGCTGCATACATCTTTCATGCATTGAAACTTAGGAACGAGATATGTGATTTTATTTAAATATTCTGTAAAGTATTTTTATTTTTCGAATATTCTTCTTGTATGTGTTAATACTTAAATTTGTAAATAAAGACCATATATACACAATTTTCACTGATTTATCTTTTCAGGGTAAATAAATTACTTCACAGTAGTTAAATACAGAGAAGCTTCACATTTCTCCAATAATTTGTTATGTCTAGCGAAAAACATTCAAATGGTTTACAAAATCTTATGTTTCTAAGTTATGTCATATGTTTGTTTTTTTATATTGCAGTAAATGTAACCTTTCCATTGATATGGGAATGGTGGGTGTGTGTTTGTATTGGACTCATATTTATGATGGTGGTGGGAGAGTCTATCAAAGCGTGTGTCAGACAACGGAAGAAGGGCAAGTTTGACCTAAAGAAGAATGAATCTAAGGCTTGAAGACTTAAAGGTTGTTATATACTCTTAATTATGTGATTGGCATAATTAGACCATGATGCATTGCATGGACCATGATGCATTGCATTATTTTGACAAACAGTGCTGCTGTGCAATTGAAGTACTTCTTTAATTAAGATTTATGTAAGCCATCAAAATAATTTCTTGATGGCTGTGAGATTTTTAGTACTTATATACCAAATTGACACGATTTATTTAAACTAGAATTTTTAACTAGTAATTTATTTGCCTATACTGTGCATATACTGCAAACAGAATGAACACAATTTATAATAGTCAGACTTTTTTTAATTAAAAAACAAGTAAAATTTAAAAATAACTTATGATTTCTCCCATACACAAAAATTAGACTAGTTGGCAAGAGTCTCTATAATCTGATCCTTAATTTATGCAAATTTCACTAGTCTTCAATCCTCTGTCAGTCATTAATAAATACATGTATGCCTAAATTTGCTAATTTTCAAAAAATTTAATCCGGCAAACTGCAATAACAAACTTCCAAAGACAAT